TCAATTAAATCAATAAAAAGGTTTGTGGTATTTTCATTAAGAAAACCAACTGACAATAAACTAATTAAATTGATTAAAAAGTAAGTTTGAAAAGTAAAATTAAACCTAAGAAGAAAAGGTTTAAGGTAAAAATGCAGCTTTGATATAAATAATTTACCAAACAATGATTTAAGACTCTAATTAAAAGTTATAGGTTGAAAATAAATGTATTTTATCGTTTATAAATCACTTTATATGGAGAGGGCGCCCTCTGGTGGTTAGTTATAAGAATTAAAATAAATGTATTTTATCGTTTATAAATCAGTTTATATGGAGAGGGCGCCCTCTGGTGGTTAGTTATAAAAAATTAAAATAAATGCATTTTATCGTTTATAAATCACTTTATATGGAGAGGGCGCCCTCTGGTGGTTAGTTGTTGGTTACTGCACTTAAATAATAAATGAATCAGACTGCTGTTTCTTTGAGTAAATTAAACACAGAAGGCTGGATGAAGAGCTTTTACTTTTAAATAAAATAAATGAAGTTTATTCATATAATTTGAGGAAGATGAACATTTAATCTCTGAGCTCTGTGAACAGTAATGTTTAGAAAATCATTTTACCTCTGAGCTGCAGCACAGAGCGAGGAAACACCTGCACACACCTGTACAAAGAAACAAGAAGAAAATACAGAATTTTGCTATACAGAAGTAACTGCACTATTTATATTTTTCCACACATTTATGTGTTGGAAAAAAAGGTTAAAAAGAGGATACATTTCTGTTATAGTGACTGTTGGATGTAATTAGAACCCATCGCCAGCAGAGGGCAGCAGTGCAATATGAATGCATGATGCAGCGGTTAATTAGACCTGACGAGGCTGTTAACCTCCAGGTGAGCTATATTGAAATATTTACAGTCCGTGGTTGTAAAGTGTAGAAGTTACATTAAAGCCACAAAGAGTTAAAACCTTCAATATCATGTAGATCATTTGAAGCACAACAAAGCATTTAATTATTATAAAATATATACTTTAAAACACTTTGCTGCTGTTATTTTTAATCATGGGGAACTTCATCACATAAATAAATGGAGCAGACAGCTACAGTAGTATTACCTGTTTTTTTATTTTGAGTTTGTTTATGATTATTTCCTGATGTTTGTTGCTGTTTTTGTTGTTGTAGGCCATGTCCCTGCCTGTTGTTGTCATCTCTAACGTCTGTCACCTCCATCCTCTGGTACAACATGCTGACCTCCGAGCCCAGGGTACACAACCAGGACTCTCAACACAGAAAATGTTTGTGATAATACAACATCATGATGATTGGAATAAACCTGGGTTTTATCATTCACTGTAAATGATCTGTGTTTAACTTCACTTTAAGGGTTTTGGATGAGACCGAAGCAAACTTAAATTCAAAGTTTAAATGTAGAATATAAAATAGAAACGTTGAGTATAAGGTCTTAAGAAACATCTAAACAGATTTATCTTATATTATAACTTTTACAATAATTCTACAAGTTTGTTTACCTTTAACTTGTGCGAGCTTTATACATATATATGATATATATTCAGAGTTGTAATTGATCTGTGATATTATCAATGAACTTAATATTATCTTTGAATGTTAATCGAGAACATAAGGTAGGTGAAGAAGAGTTATGAGCATATGAAAGTTAATAAAATCAAGGCAAGGAAGAAGAATTTTAAAACAACCTTTTTAACTTGTAAATGTTTCCTTTTAATTTATGTTTAATCTAAATTAGCTCAATGAGCTGTAAGATGTACTCACATCAAATATTTTAATCATAATAAAAAAAGCAGTTTTAATTAAATTGATCATTTCAATTAAATCAATAAAAAGGTTTGTGGTATTTTCATTAAGAAAACCAAACGACAATAAACTAATTAAAATGATTAAAAAGTAAGTTTGAAAAGTAAAATTAAACCTAAGAAGAAAAGGTTTAAGGTAAAAATGCAGCTTTGATATAAATAATTTACCAAACAATGATTTAAGACTCTAATTAAAAGTTATAGGTTGAAAATAAATGTATTTTATCGTTTATAAATCACTTTATATGGAGAGGGCGCCCTCTGGTGGTTAGTTATAAAAATTAAAATAAATGCATTTTATCGTTTATAAATCACTTTATATGGAGAGGGCGCCCTCTGGTGGTTAGTTATAAGAATTAAAATAAATGTATTTTATCGTTTATAAATCACTTTATATGGAGAGGGCGCCCTCTGGTGGTTAGTTGTTGGTTACTGCACTTAAATAATAAATGAATCAGACTGCTGTTTCTTTGAGTAAATTAAACACAGAAGGCTGGATGAAGAGCTTTTACTTTTAAATAAAATAAATGAAGTTTATTCATATAATTTGAGGAAGATGAACATTTAATCTCTGAGCTCTGTGAACAGTAATGTTTAGAAAATCATTTTACCTCTGAGCTGCAGCACAGAGCGAGGAAACACCTGCACACACCTGTACAAAGAAACAAGAAGAAAATACAGAATTTTGCTATACAGAAGTAACTGCACTATTTATATTTTTCCACACATTTATGTGTTGGAAAAAAAGGTTAAAAAGAGGATACATTTCTGTTATAGTGACTGTTGGATGTAATTACAACCCATCGCCAGCAGAGGGCAGCAGTGCAATATGAATGCATGATGCAGCGGTTAATTAGACCTGACGAGGCTGTTAACCTCCAGGTGAGTTATATTGTAATATTTACAGTCCGTGGTTGTAAAGTGTAGAAGTTACATTAAAGCCACAAAGAGTTAAAACCTTCAATATCATGTAGATCATTTGAAGCACAACAAAGCATTTAATTATTATAAAATATATACTTTAAAACACTTTGCTGCTGTTATTTTTAATCATGGGGAACTTCATCACATAAATAAATGGAGCAGACAGCTACAGTAGTATTACCTGTTTTTTTATTTTGAGTTTGTTTATGATTATTTCCTGATGTTTGTTGCTGTTTTTGTTGTTGTAGGCCATGTCCCTGCCTGTTGTTGTCATCTCTAACGCCTGTCACCTCCATCCTCTGGTACAACATGCTGACCTCCGAGCCCAGGGTACACAACCAGGACTCTCAACACAGAAAATGTTTGTGATAATACAACATCATGATGATTGGAATAAACCTGGGTTTTATCATTCACTGTAAATGATCTGTGTTTAACTTCACTTTAAGGGTTTTGGATGAGACCGAAGCAAACTTAAATTCAAAGTTTAAATGTAGAATATAAAATAGAAACATTGAGTATAAGGTCTTAAGAAACATCTAAACAGATTTATCTTATATTATAACTTTTACAATAATTCTACAAGTTTGTAAATGTTTCCTTTTAATTTATGTTTAATCTAAATTAGCTCAATGAGCTGTAAGATGTACTCATATCAAATATTTTAATCATAATCAAAAAAGCAGTTTTAATCAAATTGATCATTTCAATTAAATCAATAAAAAGGTTTGTGGTATTTTCATTAAGAAAACCAAACGACAATAAATTCATCAAATTGATTAAAAAGTAAGTTTGAAAAGTAAAATTAAACCTAAGAAGAAAAGGTTTAAGGTAAAAATGCAGCTTTGATATAAATAATTTACCAAACAATGATTTAAGACTCTAATTAAAAGTTATAGGTTGAAAATAAATGTATTTTATCGTTTATAAATCAGTTTATATGGAGAGGGCGCCCTCTGGTGGTTAGTTATAAAAATTAAAATAAATGTATTTTATCGTTTATAAATCACTTTATATGGAGAGGGCGCCCTCTGGTGGTTAGTTGTTGGTTACTGCACTTAAATAATAAATGAATCAGACTGCTGTTTCTTTGAGTAAATTAAACACAGAAGGCTGGATGAAGAGCTTTTACTTTTAAATTAAATAAATGAAGTCTATTCATATAACTTGAGTAAGATGAACATTTAATCTCTGAGCTCTGTGAACAGTAATGTTTAGAAAATCATTTTACCTCTGAGCTGCAGCACAGAGCGAGGAAACACCTGCACACACCTGTACAAACAAACACAAGAAGAAAATACAGAATTTTGCTTTACAGAAGTAACTGCACTATTCATATTTTTCCACACATTTATGTGGTGGAAAAAAAGGTTAAAAAGAGGATACATTTCTGTTATAGTGACTGTTGGATGTAATTACAATCCATCGCCAGCAGAGGGCAGCAGTGCAATATGAACGCATGATGCAGCGGTTAATTAGACCTGACGAGGCTGTTAACCTCCAGGTGAGTTATATTGTAATATTTACAGTCCGTGGTTGTAAAGTGTAGAAGTTACATTAAAGCCACAAAGAGTTAAAAACCTTCAACATCATGTAGATCATTTTAAGCACAACAAAGCATTTAATTATTATGAAATATATACTTTAAAACACGCAGTGCTACTAAGCTGTGGAACGGAAGTGGGGAAATATTGGATGTTAAATGAAACAGCAGAGTTTGGCTGCCATCTAGTGGACATGATTAGTAACTACAGTCAAACTATAGAGTTTATGAGTTTGTTTATGATTATTTCCTGATGTTTGTTGCTGTTTTTGTTGTTGTAGGCCATGTCCCTGCCTGTTCTTGTCATCTCTAACGTCTGTCAGCTGCCCAGCGGCTGGGCCTCCATCCTCTGGTACAACATGCTGACCTCCGAGCCCAGGGTACACAACCAGGACTCTCATTGATGATTACAGATGTTTACTTATCACAAATATCAAAGATACAATTAGGTGATATCTTAATGATTTAAACAAGTTTCACAGCTGCCACCTTAAATTCATAAACAGACCATTAATACAATCTAAATGTTGACGCGTGTATAGCTGTTTTACGGTTTGCATTTTGAGTATATTTTGATGCCTGTGCTTTTTATATGAAGTAAGGTTTTGAATAAAGGTCTTCTATTCGTAACAGAGTATCTTTAACTGTAGTTTTAAACCAGATGGTTTGACTTTTTGTGTTTCCATCTCTTCTTCTTTCCTCTCCTCTCCCTCACAATCTGAAGTTCTTCCTCAGCCCTCCGCAGGCCAAGTGGTCTCAGCTGTCCGAGGTCCTCAGCTGGCAGTTCTCCTCCGTCACCAAGCGAGGCCTGAACCAGGAGCAGCTCAACATGCTGGCTGACAAACTGCTCGGTAGAAATACTTTTCTTTAACAGATAAACACCTGCAGGACTTTCAAACAGGCCTTTAACTTTTATTTATTTTTATCTTCAGGAGCCAAAGCCAAGAGGAACCCAGAGGGACAAATCCCCTGGACCAAGTTGTGCAAGGTGAGCCCCATTCAGCCTGAGATTTAAGATCGTAAACATCTGTGATACTTTTTAATACCACAAGTTAAAAATGAATAAAATCTGTATTCAAATCTGTAATTTAACCAAAAGCTGCAAAAAGAGAAACATGTACAGGTTAGCAGATACTAATGGAGTCTTTTTGGTGCATCATAAAGTTAAAACTACATCTTCTCTTTGAACTAAATGTATTTGTCTGTGAGCAGAGTGCGAACGAGAAAGCGTATTCCTTCTGGTTGTGGATCGAAGGAATCCTGGATGTGATTAAAAGACACCTGCTTTCCCTTTGGAATGACGGGTGAGTGCTGCCGTCTTTCTTCAGTGTCAAGACACTTTTCTGAGATGTCAGGAGTTTTTCAGGAGTTTTCTGTAAGTGTGAAACCCCTTTAGTCTGTCTTTTAAAGGGGTCTGTCTAAGACAGACTAAGACAAAATAACCTGTCCTCTGATTGTAAGCAACACTCTCTTTTCTTTTTTTTTCTTCTGAAGAAAGCAAATCAATTCTTTTCTTCTTTCTGAGTGAAGACTTGGAGTGAGACCAAAACTGTCAACTGAGAAGTTTCTTCATTTCATCCAAGTCTTCTTTCTGTACTCTCTTTCAGTGTCTTTGTTTCGTCAGTGGTTGAACTCTGATGATCATTTTATCTGCTCTTAGAGGTGTGGTAAAAACACTCACTACTTTTAAGTTAGATACAGGTCAGTGCAGTAACCAGTCACCTTCTAGACACATTTCAGTGATTACATTCACTCTACTTGGAAGTCAAAGAATTTAGATTTTTGCACGATAATTACGAGGCAGAAAAGGCTTAAAAAGACGTGGATTCAAAGCAAAAACCCTTATCTGCCAGCTGTGTTTTATTCAGTTATAGTAGTTTACAGCTTTCATTGTCTGTTTTCTTTCATTTTGAGGAAACTTGTTTATTGTAGTCTTTAATTATCTACCACTAATAAGAAAATAAGAAAAATATATTGCCTAATATGTCATGGGAACACAATCTGCTTTCTTCCTCAGGAGTGAAACGCTCCAACGTACACAAGAATATGCAATCAGTGAAGTTACACTTCAGATTCTTTGAGAGACTAACATGCACGTGTGATTAACAGACAATGGATTTTAATTAACATAAGCAGTAAACAGTTGCTTTTTATAATTAAGAAAATATGTTATCTGTGATTAAGTCAAGTCACATTTATTTATAAAGAAATAAAACAAAGAAAGCAGTTTGAATTTGTATCTAGAACAAGAAAGGTGAAAAAAACAAAACTTTCAAATGCAGTAATTCACAGAGTGACCACAGGAGGGCGCAGTTTCACCTTTAAACTCCATCTTTACACATTAGTATCTCAAACTAACTAATTTATCTGCTTCTTGGACACTTTGGAGAACGACAGGGAGAGGAAGAGAGAAACTGGAGGTAAACATCATTCAGCAGTGAATTTATCTGTGGGTAAGAATTCAGTCAGTGTCCTAAAGACCGGAAAACAGGTTAGCTTCGTCCTGCTAACGAATGCAGTTACCGGTAGTTACCATGGTGACCCGAGTTTGACTTTCTCATGTTGCTTACCAAGAGTTCAAAGTTTAAAAAAAACATAAAAACAAGTAAATTACATTAAGAAATATTTGTTATCAATAAAACATTAGATTTTTGACTTAGTCTTGTTTTTGTGTCCTCTTATTTATAACTTTTTCATTTCTTCCATAGAAACTTTCTGCGACACTTCCGGTTGAAGCTTCCGGTAATCACGCCCAGGTGTGTTCAGGTGTTCTCAGGTGTGTATATCATTGTTTCGAGCAGGTAAGCGGTGCGGACCGCGGGCAGCCTGGCTGTGGATCAAAGCGGTGGAAGAAGAAGGAGCCGGGGAAGGAGAGATGAAGTCTAGATACTCAGTGAGTCTTTAAAAGTTCAGTTTTGTGTGAAAAGCCACAAAATAGAAACACGTGGGGCTGTATGCTAATGCTAACACGTGGGCTAATGCTCATGCTAAATGTTTGTTAAGAGGAAACATGGTCAAAGTAAGATGATGATAACATTTATCAACATTATGAAGGTCACTTTTGAACTTGTTTTCTCCTCTTAAACTAATTGTTTAAACACCGGGTAAAAGTAAACTTTAAAAACAAAACTTATAATTTAAACTATTATCAGATTGAAGAGTTTAAATAAAACAATAACCTCAATTTAACTTTATTGACTAATATGTAAATTATTAATCCGAGGTAAAATGATTTTCTGAACATTACTGTTCACAGAGCTCAGAGATTAAATGTTCATCTTGATAAAGTAATATGAATAAACTTCTTTATTTAATTTAAGAGTTAAAGCTCTTAATCCAGCTTTCTGTGTTTGATTCAAACTCAAAGAAACAACAGTCTGATTCATTTATTTTAAACCTTTAATTTTAGTTCTTGTGACAGTTAATGTATGGTCAAGATGTTTCTTAAGACCTTATACTTAATGTTTCTATATTATATTCTACATTTAAACTTTGAATTTAAGTTTGCTTCGGTCTCATAGAAAAGCCTTAAAGTGAAGTTAAACACAGATCATTTACCGTGAATGATGAAACTCAGGTTTATTCCAGTCATCACAATGTTGTATAATCACAAACATTTTGAGTTTATTTACTTGAACTAAATTAGTTTTTCTTCTCCAACAGGAACTCTGTTTACGTCTTCCAGGAGGATCCCCCGTCGGTGGCCGTCTTCCTCAGGTAGGAGACTCAAAGCTTTCTTAATGTTGTTTTATTATGTTCCAGGTTTTAGGTCTTATAGATGTTTAGACTCAGTTATTTTAATCATTTCATCCTTTTTGGAGTGGAGGAACATCAGGTGTTTAATGAAATACTACATTTTTATAATCCTTATTTCATTAAACACCTGATGTTCCTCCAAAAAGGATCAAATAACTGAGTCTGAACATTTATACGACCTAAACCTGGAACATCATAAAACAACATTAAGCTTTGAGCTCCTACCCAATGTGGACGCCTGTGACGCCTTATTGTATTGTGCTGATGTAACATGTGCAAAAAACAGAAGTCATGTCTGTTAGATTTTATTGTAATAAAACTGCTGTCCTTTCTGTGCTTGTGTTACATTGTTGATTAGGCTGTTATCTGCCAGCTGTGGTTTATAGTAGTTTACAGCTTTCATTGTTCCTGAGGAAACTTTCTAATTATCTACCACCAATAAGCATTTTCCTAATGGAAATTTGTTATAAAATATCCAAACTTCAAATGAAAATAAATCCAACAGCTGTGTGACAAAGAAGGAAACAACTACAACACAAACAAGACACAAATTAAGACTTTAAAATTTTATTATCAAATTGTGTTGAGAGAAAACTCCACATAAAGATTAAAGAAAACAGACTTTAAACTAAATCTATAGCTGAAAGAAAAGTAAAACAGCTAACAAGTAAACTTTAATCTAAAGAAACTCCTTCCAGCTGCAGCACAGATCCTTCTCTTCAGAGCGAGGAAACACCTGGAATATCAGACACAAGAAAGACATCAGGGTTTAAAGTTCATGTCAGGTTGCATCTATGAGTAATTTACAGCTAGGATTGTACAAAACATGAAAAGTAAAATGGGCCATTCTGATACATTAGTAATTTTTAATCATTTAATTAAGTCAAAATAATCTCTACATCAAAGAGAGTGTTAGGATTAAAATTTAAAAGTTTGTAGCATCATGTCAATTTTGGCCTACGAATAAAATCAAGAATATAACTATATGTGACTCAAACGGTTAAAATAAAACAAGAGCCAAGAAAAATACTCACCAAATGTTGAAGGAAGTGAGGCAGCATGGTGTAGCAGACATGCTAACAGCTCTTCATCTTGTTTTGGTCAGGCTGCCCCTAAAAGTGTTAAAAAAAGACACATCACAATTAGTTTAAACTTCAAAATGTTTGTTTTTGGAGACAAGTGAATAAAAAAAGGACTGATTTATGAAAGTTAACATTCAGTTTGTTATAATGTCACATTGGGCCTGTTTTTTTGGAAAGTAACTACTGCTGTGTCCATTCTGCATCACATTGACTTCAGTACCTGGGGGGGAGGGGGAGAGAACATCTGTGATCAGGTTCAGCTGCACTGCATTAGTCCTTAATGTCGTTGGTTATCTGCCAGCTGTGTTTTAATTAGTTATAGTAGTTTACGTGTTTATTGTTAGCCGATAAATCTGTCGCCCAAAAGGAGAAGTCAATCAAATCCTTTTGAGGACCAAGACCTTCAACCTCGTCATACAGAGCACTGATAATAACTTTAATTATCTGTGGTTTTTAACATTCTCTCTCTCTCTCTGTGTGTAGAGCTGCTGGTTGAGTGTGTGAAGAACAAAGACTTAAAGAAGGTGAGTGACAGTTTCATCTCTCACTACAGACCTTTGCACCTCATTCCTACATACTCACATGTGTCTTTGAATTGAATCATCACCTGAAGGGAGCCCCACCTGAAGGGAGCCCCACCTGAAGGGAGCCCCACCTGAAGGGAGCCCCACCTCACCTCACTCGACTCGTCCGGCTGCAGTTGACGTCATCACGCTGCCAGTGCAGGAAGCAAAGAGATGGTCCTCTACATCCTCCACAGGTGTGTGTGCAGTCCTCCACATGTATGGTGCACGTATGGAGTGAGTCAGAATGTTAGTTACTCTTTTGACTTATTCACCACATTGAATAAGGAGTGAAAACTACAACACACAACAACATTTAGTTTAGTCATTACCAAAGTTCTAAATTCAAACAATAAACTAATACAAGACAAAAGAAAGCTAGTTGTTAACTTCAGTAAAGTGAAGGAGCTTACATTTCTGTTGCTGCCTGCTCTGTGCAGCCTTGAAGATTAAAGAAGGAACCCTCCACTTCCTGCTTCCTTTATAGGCAGGGCTTGATCAGTCACTTCCTGTAGCAGTCTCTGACAGGCCAACAGGGGGTGCCATTGCACCATGCGTAGCTCATTAATAGACTCCTTAGTTGTTGTTTTTTTTTACGATTAATGAATGTATGTGGGTTCTTTTCAACATAGGAATATGATGTTTTTTTCTTTCTTTCTGTATTCTAGTGTTTGAATAAATGGGAAACTTTCAATGACAGGCTTGTAAAACAATAAGTCAGTTCAATCAATCTTTATTTTGTAGAGCGCCAACTCAATACAAATGTTATCTCAAGACACTTTACAAACAGCAGGTAAGAGAGAGTCTTGTCTGGGTTAAAGGCAGGGTTGATCATTTTCTAAAAGTAGCATTCCCTCAGTGCTGCGTCTGCACACACCCCAGAAATGGACCTCAGCTCATTGCTTGCATTGTCAGGACCAAAAGACAATTTCAACCACAATCTTAAAAAGTGGATCTGGAGAAAATCACCAACCCTGCCTTTAAGTAGTTTTTAGTCCTTACAGAAAAACTGCAGTAAGTACAGATTCTATTTGTGCTTGAAAACATCCAACATTGAACTGAAACCATGAGGTTTTTAAAATGCTAAACACTTTATTTAAATGTTAACAGAGTGTAGATGATGATGCTGTTCCTGTATCTGTGCTCTGATCTCTGTTCAGTCTATATGTGATGATATATGTGCCATCATAAACACAAGACAAGAAGAAGCAGCAGGGGGGTTGATGTCTGTTCCTCGGGTGATGTTGTCTCTCTCTCTCTCTCTCTCTCTCTCTTCTGTTGACCAGGGGGGAGACGGTCCTTCACCGAGCTGCGTCCCTGTGTCAAAGAACTATCTGTCATTATCTGGTTGAAGCAGGAGCCTCGCTCATGAAGACAGACCTACAGGTACACTTCAGACGCTAACCTGCAGGCGTCCAGTAACTCAGCAATGACCTAGATACAGAGAGAGGAGAGGCAGACAGATAGTTTCTTTCTTGGTGTTCACATATCATGTAAACAGTGTCTCTAGTGACGTCACTGATGATCCATATTTAACTTTGAACCATATTATCCTAATATATGATTGACCATATGTATATATAATAAATCAAATCTTATGTCATGGTGGTAACAATGGACGACTTTAGGTTAGTATGTCCTTTTAAATTATATGAAGTACATTATATTAAGTAAGTTAAGTAAGTTTCATCCAACACACAAATCAAAGAAAACGGACAATACAACGTTTAACTAAATCTATAACTAAACAAAACTACAGACAGAAAGATAAAAACAACAAACTAAGAAGACAAACTACGACTGAAAGAAAACTGCACAGAAAAGCTACAAGACAGCAGCTAAAAGGTAAACAAAACTAAACAACAGCTAAAAGGGAAATAAAACTAAACAACAGCTAAAAGGTAAACAAAACTAAACAACAGCTAAAAGGGAAATAAAGCAACAGCTGAAAGGTAAACTAAACAACAGCTAAAAGGTAAACAAAACTAAACAACAGCTAAAAGGGAAATAAAACTAAACAACAGCTAAAAGGGAAATAAAACTAAACAACAGGTAAAAGGGAAATAAAACAACAGGTAAACTAAGACAACAAGTTCTTCATCCAGCCTTCTGTGTTTAATTTACTCAAAGAAACAGCAGTCTAATTCATTTATTATTTAAGTGCAGTAACCAACAACTAACCACCAGAGGGCGCCCTCTCCATATAAAGTGATTTATAAAAGATAAAATACATTTATTTTCAACCTATAACTTTAATTAGAGTCTTACATCATTGTTTGATAAATTATTTATATCAAAGCTGCATTTTTACTTTGAACCTTTTCTTCTTAGGTTTAATTTTACTTTTCAAACTTACTTTTTAATCAATTTAATTCGTTTATTGTCGTTTGGTTTTCTTAATGAAAATACCACAAACCTTTTTATTGATTTAATTGAAATGATTAATTTGTTTGAATTTATTTTTATTTAATTTAATTATTTTTTTCTTACAGCTCATTGAGCTAGTTTAGATTAAACATAAATTAAAAGGAAACATTTACAAGTTAAAAAGGACTATCACAGACTTTTACTTTAGGAGCACTCAAACGTGTGCATCTAATTTACAGCTAGGATTGAACAATACGTGAAAAGTCAATGAGCCATTATGATACATTACTCATTTTAAATTAACTGTTTTTTTCAACTGAAAATACTTCTTACCTTTGTGAAAGAAAAGTCAAATAATATTGTTGCAACGAGCGGAGCAAATACGAGGAGGACATCAGCAACCTGTACAAACAGCTGGATGACAAGAATAGACTAAAGACAAGACACAACATTAGAAGCACAGTTTGGAGACAACCTGCTTAAAATACTTTCATTTTCTCAATTATTATTACTTAATGTCATTTTCTTATTTTCATTTAAACATGGATTTCATAAGGATGATCATTTTTGCATGAACTCACTCTGACCCCACGTCCCTCCCAGGAGGAGCTGTGCCGGCTGCAAACGGAGAACCAGCTGAAGGAGGAGGTGAAGGAGGTGCTGCAGGCGCTGGAGGAGCTCGCCGTCAACTACGACCAGAAGAGCCAAGAGGTGGAGGAGAGAGAGAGACATGATGGAGACGAGGACATCAAGGTGAGGACACAAACACACTTTGTATTGTCTCTAATCTGTTTATACATCTCCACAAAACTCTGGAGGAGCAGCTGGAGAACCACCACAAGCAGCTCAGCCGCCTCAGAGACCAGATCCAAGACAAGCAGAGGATGATGGACGAGCTCCTTTTTGTTTCAACCAGGGCCTGTTACTGGAGCAGGAGAGACTCATGACAGAAGCTCATGTATGTACCAGCTAACACATCACACCACATTTTCTGTCCAGACTGCTGAATGATCAGAGGGAAAACCAAACCCTGGGGTATTCCAAACTAACGTGCAATGGCACATAAAATACATAACCAACATAACAGCATAACAACAACAAGGCCCCCGGATCCAAGTGTCATGTCATTTAAAAACCCAACAGTCTGCAGAAGTCTGAACTCTGCATGCAGAGGGTGCTGCACGTAGTGTTGTAGTCATGACCACACTAAGACCAAGACCACAAATATCTTTGTGTGCAGGGGACGTTTTACTCACTTGGACCGTAACACCGGGAAGGTTGTGGTCGTAACTAAATCAAACTATAAATGGAGTTAAGTTATTTCTTGTTTTTTCCTTCTAGTCCCGAGATTTAAGGAGTCTCAGGGAGCACATGAGGGTGTTCCAAGACTTCTGATTGGCCCTTATTTTAAAAAATAACTGTATTTCTCCGCCTGTTTTTGTTAACGATGCTGAGGTTCCTACAAACATCCATTCAACACAACCACACGTAATCAAAGCATTTGTTTGAATGATCACCTGTCTGTTTCTCTCGTCGGTTTTCTTATATCTGTAGCTCTGGATTTATCAACAGGAAGTGCTCTGGAGTGCAACAGGAAGTGCTCTGGACTTAGCAACAGGAAGTTATAAAGGAAACAGGAAGTGGAGGGTTCTTTCTTTAATCTGCCCACAGCAGGCAGCAACAGCAATGTAAGTTCCTTTACTGAAGTTAAGGTTTAGCATCAGCATGTAGCTTAGCATTAGCCTTGTTATTTATTGCATCTGATGTAGCATACCATGTGGTTTAGCATTAACATGTGGCTTAGCATTAGCATGTAGCTTAGCATTAGCCTTGTTATGCATTGCATCTGATGTAGCACACCATGTGGTTTAGCATTAACATGTGGCTTAGCATTAGCATGTAGCTTAGCATTAGCCTTGTTATGTATTGCATCTGATGTAGCACACCATGTGGTTTAGCATTAGCATGTGCTTAGCATTAGCATGTAGCTTAGCATTAGCTCATTAGCATCTTAGCATTAGCATGTAGCTACAGTATCTGTCGTCTATCTGCAGCTGTACTGAATGAGGTATTTTAATCCTCTGCATCTTCAGTGTCACAGTAACTTTGTCTGTTTGGTGATGTTGGATTAGCAGAGTTTAATAACACACACACACACACATATATATATATATATATACACACACACAGTGGTAACACATGTTTTTATTTCTTAACACAAGGCTTTAAACAGAAAGAAGACGATTGAAACAGCTTGAACAAACTTCTTATTTTATTTATTTTATTAATAAATATTTATAATATTAATCATTTCTAATATATTTTTAAATATTATAAAATATTTTATTTTTTAACAGTTTTTATTTTTACTGAATTCCCCAATTTAAATGCAAATCAAACATTTTTAACATTCTCTCTCTCTCTACAGATAGATGATCCCACACCTGTGCACCTCATTTCTACATACTCACCTGTGCATGCTTTGCTATGACGATTGTCTTTGTTGGTCCAAACTAAATCGAAACATTGTCTTTCAATTGCAGGAGCTGCACCTGAAGGGAGCAAAGAGATGGTCTGCCACATATTCACCACATTGAATAAGGACTGAAAACTACAAGACACAACAATAAACTAATACAAGTTGTTGCTAATGCTAACCTACATGCTAATGCTAACCTACATGCTAAGCCACATGGTATGCTACATCAGATGCAATACATAACAAATTATAACAATGCTAAGCTACATGCTAATGCTAAACCTTAACTTCAGTAAAGGAACTTACATTGCTGTTGCTGCCTGCTGTGGGCAGCCTTGAAGATTAAAGAAACAACCCTCAACTTCCTGTTTCCTTTATAACTTCCTGTTCCCTCAATGACCTACAGAGAGGAGAGTTGTCTTCTTGGTCTTAACATATCATATAAAAACTGTCTCCACTCACTTCACTGATGCTCCATATTTTACTTTATTACTATTTACTTTATTTTACATATTGAACATTGTCCATTTACTATTCTGTTTTTGTACATTTACATTTAATCTTTCTATTTAAGACTAGTAATGTTTAGTTAAATCCTGGTTGTATATATTCTCATTCTTAGTTTTGATATTTTTACTACTTATTTACTTTGTATTTAATATTATATTCTGTTTAGATTTGTTAACATTGTGTTTTTTACTCATATTGTGTGTTAGATAACCTGCTGCTGTAACGCCACAATTTACCAGTTTGGGATCAATAAAGTCATTCTATTCTATTCTTAACTTTCATACAACACTTTTAAATAAAAGGCTCTGACATGTTAAAAAACTTCACACACACTTCATTTTCTCCATAAACCCCTACTTGTGTTACTCTCCAAACACCAGGGGGAACTTTGCCCCCCCCCCAGTGGTTCCCAATGCTGCTGATTAAAGAACCCTCAACCTAATTTGTGAAATGTCCACATCAATTCTTTCTTGCTGTTATCACATCATGTATACAGTGTCTCTAGTTTAATCAATGAAGTCATTAGAATGGTTATAAGAAAGGCAGTTACAGTAAGCAAGCCAACACTCTCAACTAACTTTCATCAACATTCTTCAAAAAAGTTCAGCCACACTTGATTTCTTTTTTCATAACCCCCTACTGATGTTACTCAGGAAACACCAGGGGGAACTTTGCCCCCCTAGCGGTTCCAGGCCCCGATGCCGTGGAAGCCGGAATTGAACCAGCACGTACCCGTTGCAGAAGCAAGGACGATCCCACAATCGTGTGTGTGTGTGTGTCTCTGAGCTGAACGGTCTGCAGAGAAAGAGAGCTACCGAGGTCCTCAACCTGCTGCTACGAGACCTCAGTGACATCGGCGCCATCATCGGCACCAGTGATGTCAACACAGCTGTGAGAACGGACACACACACACACACACACACACACACACACACACACACACACATCTTTCACAGTCTCAACATCTGTAACCTCCCCCTCGTCCTCAGTCCTCAGAGTCAAAGGGGAACGGCTCAGCGGTGGAGGAGGAGTTCACATCAGCAAGTTCAAGTCTGAGGTCAAGTCTCTGGTGAACCGCAGCAAACAGCTGGAGAGCACGCAGGCCGACGCCCACACAAACATTCAGGCCAATGACAAGGAGACATGATGGAGACGAGGACATCAAGGTGAGGACACAAACACACTTTGTATTGTCTGTACTATATTATATTCTACGTTTAAACTTTGAATTTAAGTTTGCTTCATCCAAAACCCTTAAAGTGAAGTTAAACACAGATCATTTACAGTGAATGATAAAACCCAGGTTTATTCCAATCATCACAATGTTGTATAATCACAAACATTTTCTGTGTTTTATTAACTTGATGAACTAAAATTAGTTTTTCTTCTCCAACAGGAACTCTGTTGATGTCTTCCAGGAGGATCCCCCGTCGGTGGCCGTCTTCCTGCTCAGGTAGGAGACTCAAAGCTTTCTTAATGTTGTTTTGTTATGTTCCAGGTTTTAGGTCTTATAGATGTTTAGACTCAGTTATTTTAATCAGCTACTAAGAAGTCGATTTAGAGTGGAGGAACATCAACCTGGAACATAAAACAACATTAAGAAAGCTTTTGAGCTCCTACCCAATGAAGCTGGAGGATAGTGGGGGGGGGGGACTGGCTGGATGTAACCCCCTCACCTGTGACACCTTATTGTATTGTGCTGATGTAACATGTACAAAACACAGAGGTCATCATGTCTGTTCAATATTTTATTGTAATAAAACTACTGCTGTGTCCATTTTGGAACATTTTTTTAGAGCGCTACTCAAACGTTTAGCTGCGTTGCTCGATCCTTACAAGTTATACCTCGTTGTAAAGGTGACTCATCAGGCTTTCCAACGATATAAAATACAACACCAATTAGTTTTATTAAAGGGGCCAAATAATTGAAAAAATAATGTTTCCAAACTTTTTGAGGAGTTTATTTCCAACAGTTATCAAAGCCACAGAAATCCTTCAGAATCAGCTTTATTGTCCAGGTATGCTTAAACACAAGTTTACTTTTGTAAACTGTGCTGTCTTTGTACAAAGGTATAATATTAAATATCAACAATAAACAAATATGTACAAGGATAAATAGGATAATACTGTAAACATGAGGTAGTTTTTACATTAAAAAGTGTTTGTATATGATCATTTAAATATATGTATATTCTCCTATAATTGTGACATCATAACATCTTCATTTTAGAGTTGTTACAGGACGTGACAAAGGAAGGGTATCACACATGAAACAAGGTTTAAAAGGAAGTGAATTTATTATCAAATAATGATAATTATGTAAATCAGTCATGAATACAATGTATGGATGAGTGTAGTGTTGGAAAGTGTGAACAAAAGTAAAGCAGTTGGTGGAGGCCTGGGAGAAAGAGAGGGGAGACAAGTTAGACTGGAAGCCACTTAGAAGCAGAGTCCTGATGGACTCAGGTGTACCCAGTTGGACTAATGGCCTTCCTGACTCCGCCTACTTTCTGCCAAGTCAGGAAGCCAAACAAATGCAGGACGTCACCCCCCAATAAATCATTTATTTAACAAATATTTAAAAAACAATCTTAGACTTGAACAAAACAACACACAGATCCAGCAGGAGAAAGAAAGTCTGCATCTGTCTCTGTGGCTCAGGAGATAGAAGGAGGACTTGGAGTCTGGAGGTTGTGGGTTTGAATCTTATCAGGACTCAGTGAATTTTAAAGGTGTCGGTCTTAAAGACACACACACACACACACACACACACACACACACCCCATTCTCTTAAAGGTGTTGGTCCAAAGGAAAGACTGAAGAGATCTGAGAAACATAATCAAGTATCTGTCTGTGTGGCTCAGGAGATAGAAGGAGGACTTGGACTCTGGAGGTTGTGGGTTCAAATCTTATCAGGACTGAGTGAATTTTAAAGTCCAACATCTGAAATGATGAAGATAAATACGCCCGGAGCTCATGTCATAGTGTGAAGGGATCAGTAGTGTAGTGGATAAGATTGTGGTTTCCAAGCTCTGTAGGTGGGCAGCCTGGGTTTGAATCCCACTGTGTCTGGTGATGGAGGGTTTGAATCTTATCAGGCAAATTTTAAAGTCAAAATCCAAAATGACCATGATAAATACGCCCGGAACACATCTCCAAGTGTGAAGGGGCCGGTGGCCGAGTGGGATCGTCCTTGCTTCTGCAACGGGTACGTGCTGGTTCAATTCCAGCTTCCACGGCATCGGGGCCTGGAACCGCTAGGGGGGCAAAGTTCCCCCTGGTGTTTCCTGAGTAACATCAGTAGGGGGTTATGAAAAAAGAAATAAAGTGTGGCTGAACTTTTTTTTCAGACACTTTTTTGAAGAATGTTGATGAAAGTTAGTTGAGAGTGTTGGCTTGCTTACTGTAAGTGCGTTTCTTATAACCATACTGTAACTAGCTTACTCATAACCATTCTAATGACTTCATTAATTAAACTAGAGACACTGTATACATGATGTGATAACAGCAAGAAAGAATTGATGTGGACATTTCACAAATTAGGTTGAGGGTTCTTTAATCAGCAGCATTGGGAACCACTGGGGGGGGGCAAAGTTCCCCCTGGTGTTTGGAGAGTAACACAAGTAGGGGTTTATGGAGAAGAAAATGAAGTGTGTGTGAAGTTTTTTAACATGTCAGAGCCTTTTATTTAAAAGTGTTGTATGAAAGTTAAGAATAGAATAGAATGACTTTATTGATCCCAAACTGGTAAATTGTGGCATTACAGCAGCAGGTTATCTAACACACAATATGAGTAAAAAACACAATGTTAGCAAATCTAAACACAATATAATATTAAATACAAAGTAAATAAGTAGTAAAAATATCAAAACTAAGAATGAGAATATATACAACCAGGATTTAACTTAACATTACTAGTCTTAAATAGAAAGATTAAATGTAAATGTACAAAAACAGAATAGTAAATGGACAATGTTCAATATGTAAAATAAAGTAAATAGTAATAAAGTAAAATATGGAGCATCAGTGAAGTGAGTGGAGACAGTTTTTATATGATATGTTAAGACCAAGAAGACAAGTCTCCTCTCTGTAGGTCATTGAGGGAACAGGAAGTTATAAAGGAAACAGGAAGTTGAGGGTTGTTTCTTTAATCTTCAAGGCTGCCCACAGCAGGCAGCAACAGCAATGTAAGTTCCTTTACTGAAGTTAAGGTTTAGCATTAGCATGTAGCTTAGCATTGTTATAATGTGTTATGTATTGCATCTAATAGCATACCATGTGGCTTAGCATGTATGTTAGCATTAGCATGTAGGTTAGCATTAGCAAGAACTTGTATTAGTTTATTGTTGTGTCTTGTAGTTTTCAGTCCTTATTCAATGTGGTGAATATGTGGCAGACCATCTCTTTGCTCCCTTCAGGTGCAGCTCCTGCAATATTGAAAGACAATGTTTCGATTTAGTTTGGACCAACAAAGACAATCGTCATAGCAAAGCATGCACAGGTGAGTATGTAGAAATGAGGTGCACAGGTGTGGGATCATCTATCTGTAGAGAGAGAGAGAATGTTAAAAATGTTTGATTTGCATTTAAATTGGGGAATTCAGTAAAAATAAAAACTGTTAAAAAATAAAATATTTTATAATATTTAAAAATATATTAGAAATGATTAATATTATAAATATTTATTAATAAATAAATAAAATAAGAAGTTTGTTCAAGCTGTTTCAATCATCTTCTTTCTGTTTAAAGCCTTGTGTTAAGAAATAAAAACATGTGTTACCACTGTGTGTGTGTGTGTGTTATTAAACTCTGCTAATCCAACATCACCAAACAGACAAAGTTACTGTGACACTGAAGATGCAGAGGATTAAAATACCTCATTCAGTACAGCTGCAGATAGATGACATTAGCTACATGCTAAGCCACATGTTAAGCTACATGCTAATGCTAAGCCACATGTTAATGCTAAACCACATGTTAATGCTAAACCACATGGTGTGCTACATCAGATGCAATGCATAACAAGGCTAATGCTAAGCTACATGCTAACGCTACACCTTAAGTTCAGTAAAGGAACTTACATTGCTGTTGCTGCCTGCTGTGGGCAGATTAAAGAAAGAACTCTCAACTTCCTGTTTCCTTTATAACTTCCTGTTGCACTCCAGAGCACTTCCTGTTGCTAAATCCAGAGCACTTCCTGTTGTACTCCAGAGCACTTCCTGTTGTACTCCAGAGCACTTCCTGTTGCACTCCAGAGCACTTCCTGTTGCTAAATCCAGAGCACTTCCTGTTGTACTCCAGAGCACTTCCTGTTGTACTCCAGAGCACTTCCTGTTGATAAAACAGATTCACAGAGAAACAGACAGGTGATCTTTGACTGATTGAACTGGACTTTGATCCATTTGAACTTTTGTGACCTGTTGGTTTGGTGACCTCAGAAATCGAGTTATTGTTTTTTCTGGAACACCCTCATGTCTCCTTAAGACTCCATGAAGGTCTCAGTCTGAGACTAGAAGGCAACATGACACTTTAAATGATGTTCCAGTCCTATAATAAATAAATGAGTTCATGTTGATGTTGGTGTGTAACAGATTAGAGACAATACAAAGTGTGTTTGTGTCCTCACCTTGCAGCCAGCACAGCTCCTCCTGGCACATATATCATTACATACAGACTGAACAGAGATCAGAGCACAGATAGGGTGAGTGCAGCAGCTCTACAAAATAAAGATTGATTGAACTGACTTATTGTTTTACAAGCCTGTCATTGAAAGTTTCCCATTTATTCAAAACTAGAATACAGAAAGAAAAAAACATCATATTCCTATGTTGAAAAGAACCCACATACATTCATTAATTGTAAAAAAACAACAACTGAGGAGTCTATTAATGAGCTACACATGGTGCAATGGCACCCCCTGTTGGCCTGTCAGAGACTGCTACAGGAAGTGACTGATCAAGCCCTGCCTATAAAGGAAGCAGGAAGTGGAGGGTTCCTTCTTTAATCTTCAAAGCTGCACAGAGCAGGCAGCAACAGAAATGTAAGCTCCTTCACTTTACTGAAGTTAACAACTAAGCTTTCTTTTGTCTTGTATTAGTTTATTGTTTGAATTTAGAACTTTGGTAATGACTAAACTAAATGTTGTTGTGTGTTGTAGTTTTCACTCCTTATTCAATGTGGTGAATAAGTCAAAAGAGTAACTAACATTCTGACTCACTCCATACGTGCACCATACATGTGGAGGACTGCACACACACCTGTGGAGGATGTAGAGGAGCATCTCTTTGCTCCCTTCAGGTGCAGCTCCTGCAGCTGATGATTAAATTGAAAGACACATGTGAGTATGTAGGAATGAGGTGCAAAGGTCTGCAGTGAGAGATGAAACTGTCACTCACCTTCTTTAAGTCTTTGTTCTTCACACACTCAAGCAGCAGCTCTACACACAGACAAATTGGAGAGAGAGAGAATGTTAAAAACCACAGATAATTAAAGTTATTATCAGTGCTCTGTATGACGAGGTTGAAGGTCTTGGTCCTCAAAAGGATTTGATTGACTTCTCCTTTTGGGCGACAGATTTATCGGCTAACAATAAACATGTAAACTACTATAACTAATTAAAACACAGCTGGCAGATAACCAACGACATTAAGGACTAATGCAGTGCAGCTGAACCTGATCACAGATGTTCTCTCTCCCCCTCCCCCCAGGTACTGAAGTCAATGTGACGCAGAATGGACACAGCAGTAGTTACTTTCC